TAACATTAATTGTTATGGCAGTATTTGGGCGCCAAAATTGACTGACTGTTAATAAGTCAAAAAAGTAGTCGTCATTCTGGTCCAAAATTAGGTACTTGCCAACAAAAGAGGAGTGAGAGTGATAAATATGTAGTCACTTCAAAGTAAATTTGTCACATATAATTCAAAAACTACACTGAAAATCCCTCAATTCTCACGATATTAGTTGAAAACTTAAATGCTATCATTATTGCAACCTCACCCATAAAAATCTAAACTCCAAAGAAAAAGCCATTACATCCCCTGTTTTTGACACCATACTTTGTCACACATTTCACACATTTTTTTTTTTATTGCGCGTATTCAGCCAAAACAAACAAACGGCTATGTTCTAGCTTGTACTGAATTAAAGATATTACACAAATTGTCCTTCTCTTCTCTTGTTGAGTGGCAGAGGCGGAATGCTCTGTTCATGCCGGAAGAAGTTATCTGGGTCAACTTTTGTCTTGATTTTTACCAATCTGTAGAAGTTGTTCTTGAAATAACTGACACCCCAAGAGCTTGCTTCAATGAAGCTGGTTCCGTTCTTCTTGTTCATGCCAAGATCAAGATCCCTGTAATTCACATATGCTGTCCTAGGGAACATGGAAACATATGGAGTCATGTAGTTGTACAGTTTCCTGATCCAGTCCATATGCTTGGCCATGTTTTTCTCGCCATCTTGCCATGTGGTCAAGTACTGGATCTTGAACAGGGTTCCCTGCCGGTGAGGGAAAGGGATTTCTGATTCTGGGATCTTGCCCATCGTTCCGCCGTAGGGGTTCCATATCATCATTGGAGAGTCTTCTTCCAACAACCTTTCCCATAGTCCCTCCAGGGCGGTTTCTGGGATAGGTTCTCTCACGAAGTCAGATTTGGATTTGAAATAGTTCTTGAACAGAGATTTCCCCTGGAGAAGCACTTCCGGTGGGGTGGTGGGCGGGTAGCCGGCGATGTAAAGCACCGATTTGATCCAGCTGGTTTCAGTGCAGTCTGCCTTTGTCAAATTCAATTCAGGGAAGCTCTGTTGCATTACTTGGAGAAGCCTTTGAGAATTACCAAGAAACAGGGCATTATATAAAGTTGTGATCGTTCTCTGTGCTTTCTGCCCTGCACTTCCAGCTTGGATGACGACTCTGATGAAGAGATTTTCATCTAGCTGAGGAGCAACTTGCTGCCATTTGTAGAGGATCTTTGTGGCGCCTTGTTGCAAGGTCTTAGGAACAGTGAATACAGTCACCGTTTCCGGAACTAGAACCAGCTTTACCTTCCAGGCAAGGATGACTCCGAAGCTTCCACCCCCACCACCTCTTATTGCCCAGAAAAGATCTTCACCCATGGTTGCTCTGTCAAGAACTCTTCCGTGAACATCCACAATTCGAGCATCAATGACATTGTCAGCGCCAAGGCCATATTTTCTCATCATGGTACCGTATGCACCTCCGGTGATGTGCCCACCAACGCCTAAGCTTGTACAGACACCGGCAGGGAAGCCATGTGTCTTGCTTTTCTGGGAAATTCTGTAGTAAAGTTCCCCAATTGTTGCACCGGCTTGAACCCAGGCGCTGTTATCATTAATGTCAACATTAATGGATCGGAGCTTTGAGAGGTCTACTATGACAAAGGGTGATTCAATTTCTGCTACATAGGACATGCCCTCGTAGTCATGGCCCCCGCTCCGAACCCTTATAGGAATTCCAAGCTGTTTGGAGCAAATGACAGCAGCTTGGACATGGGTTTCATACAGAGGTGTGAATATGAACTGGGGTTTTGGAGCCTCAGGCACTAAGTACCTGAGGTTTTGGGCTGTGGATTGGAGGATGGTAGTGAATGAAGCATTATTTGGAGTGAAAAATGAAGAGGCGAAAGGAATGGTGAACTCGGAATTGGCATCAAGGCATTGCATAAAGCTATCTGGAATGGGAAGTGAAGTTGGTCTTTTCTTTTTG